AAACTTAAGAGATACGATGCAACAACATTTCAGATTTATGGTATATTGTGTTAAATTGTGTATTTGCTTTCTGAATATTTTTGGCATAACTACAATGAGACTTGGCATTTGATTTTATTATAACTGTATATAAAGTTGGATTTTTCCAAAATGCCAATTTGGAACTAAATTGACAAGACTATTTGAGAGCTGTACTTTACAGAGTACAACACAGGGGCAAACAACACTACTGTCCCAAGAGAGATTAACCTTGTAAGCAAGTTATGCAGGTGATTCAAATCCCGTTAATCTCACACAAAAAAATGTTAATTGCATTGGCAAAGACGTTGCCTCTGATCACTCCGCAGTTATATAATTAGAGATCAGCCCATTCAGAGAGTCTCTAATCTAATTGATAAGCAGTCAGCAAACGACCCTTGAAATTCCTTCCCGTTTTTTCAGTATGTGGTCAGACATAAGAGAGTAACATGCAAAAATCAGTGACCTTGTTTTGACATGTTTTAGAATTAAGTTTGCTTGTTATTCAACAGTTTAAGATTTTTGTACATATTTTTTAATTGTACAGAGCTTTAATTGTCCAAGCTCTATGGAGCAGTAATAGATATAAAGTGTGATCACTTATCGTTGTATTGGATGGTTCCATTGTCAACTTACTTTATAATCCTTTGAGCTTTTAATTTGTTTGCAAATGATTTTGAGACAAAAGGGGAGACTTAAGACACTTCCTTCTAATTTTTAAAATTTGTGTCTGAAAGGGGCTTGGCTTTTTGTTTGGCATATTGTAACAGTTGCCACTGTAAATGCAAAGCATTTTAAAATACCTTTTCGGCTCGTACAACTTTTTTAGTCTTTATAGTTATGTTTCTGATTCTCAGATTTTCTGGAAATACAGTTTTGTTAAGAAAAGTGGAAAATAGTTTTTACAAAAAAAACTTCTTCCATTTAAGTAAATGTTAGGCAAACTTACATTATGTTTTTAACATAATGTTTTCTATGGGTAGTTATGAAAATTACAAAGCGGAAGGTGAGTTTAGTATAATTAACAGAAAGCAATTGGAATAATGAATAATACAGTTTAGAGATAATTGCTGGAAAGGGTGCTATGGAAATTCTCAGAATAATACTTTAAAATATGTGACCAAACTCCAGTTATCTGAGGAATTTCCCATGTCACATTGTTGGACAGCATATCCTAATACCCAGATGTAAAACCCATCTGGATGTGTCCTGTGTGTGCCGGTGACTTTCATCTCAGTTATTCTTGGCCTTTGTTTTGTTTTGTTTTGTTTTTTTTCTATCCATTGAATTACATTTTTAACCATAAGCCAATGTCAGACTTCCAAAAATTGTATACCACAGATGCTCCTGTGGTTATCCAGTTGCTAAGCAACTTGACTCTGCTTGAGGGTAGAAGGGAAGTGAGAAGGTTCACTGTGAAGTTCTGCACCCCTGCTGAGTTCATTTGAACAGCAGCAGGGATCTTATATTTTGATTCTTCTCGAAATTATAAACCAAGTGCCTCCACGTGTCTTCATATAAAACAATGGGGCTTAGAACAAGTACAATGACCAAAAAGCCCTTAAGGATTTTGATTGTCTTCCCTTGAAGAAGGGACAGCTTAGTTTTAAGACATCTCTGATGTGACGTTTGCTTTTTGGATTAATTATATGTAGTGATTTTGTGATTGTTAGCAAGTTAAGAAAAGCATACAAAAACGTTGCCTGAAATATAAGCATTTAATAGAACTAGTCTCACATATTGTTTTCAATTTATTTTATACCCAGCATAATGTCATCAAAACTTTTTATATTAGATAGCTAAGAGATACTATTTCATATTAGATAGGTAGATAGTTTTAATATTCCAATGACTTAACAGTTTTTCAATGTATGAGCTTGCTGCAATTTATCCTAAAATCTTCTATTTTCCAATATTGTCAGTTTTACTGCAATTATTCTATGTACTTCTTATTTTTGTTGCAGTTATCAATTGTCAAAGTCACTGTTTTGCATGGTTATATTTTGCAGAGTGTCTGCAAATAATGGTTGCTTTGGTTCTTCTTCAGTGCTCACACTTCTTTTTTCTTACTGATTTTTAATGTCGGCATGCCCATCTTGTTCCTGACTTCAATGGGAATATCTTTTGTATTTTACTTTTAAGATAATTTTGGCATTTAATTTCTGAAAAAATGTCTTCAACATATTTTAAAAGTCTTTTTGATTCCTTCTTTATTTAGATGTTTTTTAATCCAATAGCTACATCTACAGATTTGATCATATGTTTTCTTTCCCCTCCTATTGTGTAAGTAACCTCTTTTATCTCACTGAAAATTTATTTGACTTCAAGTAATAGAAATCTGTCTAACGATGGCTTAAACATAAGAGTTTAATTTTTCTAATCCTTACCATTTCTATGAGGAAAGGACCTTACACACATAAACTCACACACCCATGCACACACTCACACACAATCCATGTTTTACCTGCCAGTCTGTTTCAATTTGCTAAACGACAAGTTGAGACAATCCCTAGAGTCTTGTTTTCACCCTCTGCATCTGACTGATCTCCCAGTTTTGACCTCTCCTGTCTGTCCCCTTTCCACATCCTATGGACCATTGCATCAGTTTAAGCTGAAATAATTTCCTATAACAACCCTTTGACCTAATTCGGGACTTTATGTTTCTCTTCTAATTTATCTTTCACAGACCTGCCAACAGGACCTTTTTCAAATATTTATTCAAAATGTTGCTTACTTGCTTAAAGTCCTTCAACAGCTACCAACCTCAGGACACAGCTCACAGTCCTTGAGTGGTGAACAAGGCCTTCATAGTCTTTACCACTCATTCTCTGGCTAGCTTTGTCTCTCACCACTTTCCCTGATAAAGCTAAGCTGCTCACTATTCACCAGCTTGACCACTTAGTCAAAGCCTCTAGGAATAATTGTATTAATATGTGCTGAATGAGTGAGTGGATGAGAGAAAGACTTCCCTAGCTTGTTCATCCCAGTGTCAGGATGTAATATGATACTCCCAGTAAAATCAAAGGGAACAGGAAGGGTCTTCTCTTGATGAATCATTTTTCAATCTTGCGTCATATCGGTCATGTCTCAAGCCTCTTTAACATTGGGTTAATGAAGGTTTTGGATGAACTGAATGAGTAGCTGCACCTCATAGCACAGAAAAGGTCAGTCCCGCTTCCTATGCTAATTATTCATTTTGACTGTTAACATTTAGGACCCTGATAAGGATATACAAATCCTATTGTCTATTTAACTACCAGAAATGATAACTCAATATCAACTAAACCAGCCCCAAAATAAATTTTTGGGCATGTAGTGTCAATAGATGAAAAAAAAAAACACTAAATCATTTTATCTGACATGCAGATTTGTTCTGTTGTCTACAGGGCACAATGGGCTGCTAATTTATTAAGGTTATCTAAGATCTTTAGAGGCAGCCATTTTTAAAATTTTTATGGGTTGTCAATTCTACATTTACAAAAGTTTTCGTGATAAAACTTTATTTGTCTTGTTTCATGGCTTGGGATTTTTAAGTTCCAGAGTACAGATACTCAAGCATATGCAGGCCTGTGTATTAAGAAAATTTTGATCCTTACTGTCAAATTCTCTGGAAAGATACAATTGTCTTCCTTCTAAATGCCAACGATAGTTGATTTTATTGCAATGAAATATTTATCTTGCGACTTACATATTTGTTTCGTAAATATGGATCTTGATTTAGTCAATAAAATCAAATACTCTTATTCTATACTCTTAACATATATTATTTGAAACAATTTATTTTCTTGGAATGTTTCCTGCTAAATACATTTTAGTTTTTGTGCCACTGTATACAGAATTTTAAATTAGAAGCTTTGAAACTAAAGTCCTAGGTGGCTAAATATGTCCAGATGGCCAGATAAATTGTGTCAGCTTCCTATGGATCTCATCTTTCTTTTCCTTGGCTTAGTCCTCTTTCTACCTCAGTAAGTAGCAATATTGAATTTGTTTGTGATTTGCAGACATAGGCTAATCAAATTTAAATGATAATTTTTTCAGCGTCAGTCTATTATCAAAAAGGGAAGAAATTGGACAAGGAATGCCAATGTTTGGCAATGCATAAAACTACTTTTTGTTTTGTATCCTCAGAGGCTAAGATTCTTACTGACAGGAAAAGGTTCTTATGGATAAGGATTTATTTTTCTCTAGCTTTATGTAAAAGAGTGCTAGAATACAATTGAATAGTGCCAAGTACAGATGAATAAAACAAGGAAGGATGAAAATAGTAAAACAGAATACTGAAGAAATAAAAAAAAAACATAAAATTAAGTAACATAAAAATGGGTAAATATCTCAAAAACTTAGGAGAAGACCATTGGAGAAAAACCTCAAAAAATTGATAAATAAATTGTTTGCACTAATTAATGATAGTCTTTGCATTTAAGAATAAAAATTCAGTTAGACAGCTTTTCATACATGAAGTTAAAATAATCATGGAAATATTGAGTCTTTAAAAAATCATAGCCTAAGTGGGAACATTTAGGTACACATTTTTTTTTCTCTTGTATTCTTGAGGAATATTTATATATTTTTTAATTTTTTATCCCTTTCAATTTTTAGTTTTCCCACTTTGAGTCCTGATAATAGATTATTGTAATCATATTTAATCTCTCTTTTTCCTGTAGAATTCAGTGTTCTGATTTTTTTTTTAATGATAGGATCCGCCTGATTTAGCTCAGGTATTCACTGAAAAATCAATTTAATATTTTTTCCAAAGGTTGAATGCTCTTATATGCAAACTGTAGCTATCCCTTTGTTCCAAAATATTTTATTTTATTGAATGATGTTGGATTCACAAGTCCTTATTAGGACATAGCTGTGGTACCGTTAGGTACCTGTATACCAAAAGTAAATTAGGCTTCCTTTGCTTTATTCATAATGTACTTAAAACATGCATAATATTTTATCAAATTTTACCATTGTTTTATTTTATTTTTTTCAAGAACGACCCACATTTCTCAGGAGGCCAATTAACCAGGTGGTGCTGGAGGAAGAAACTGTAGAATTTCGCTGTCAAGTCCAAGGAGATCCTCAACCAACTGTGAGATGGAAAAAGGATGATGCAGACTTGCCAAGAGGAAGGTAAGAGAACATCGTGGATGGAAGATTGTTAGATAACCAATGAATAATTAGGATAGAAAAGGCCTACTGCCGTGCCACCACCAAACACTCCTACATCTTGGGGAATTTTCACTCATGTAATTTTTACATATACAAGCCACATATTTCCTGATTGTATATTAAAGTCCACCAGGCTTTCAATGTCACTCTTTCAATGAATATCTAAGTTAATGCTTGATTCTTCATTCCACCTCTTATCTCCAGATCCAAGGATTCCTGGGTGCCTTCTTTCTCCTGGACCCTTTGAGGCATACTGTTCTGTTCCTGCAGAATGCCCCCTCCTTCCTTCCATCAATGACTGCCCTGTTCTTATGCTTCACCTTCTTGGGATACCATTTGTTACCTCCATGGCCCAAAGCATAACTAACAAAAGACTATTGCATGTGACTGACTGTAAGTCCTAGAATAAAGGAAAGGTCAGCACAACACTGAAATAGTAGCAAGTAGTTTGTATCTTTTTTCACATAGGATATTTCTTTTTGTTTTTCTTTTTTCTTTTTGTTTGTTTGTTTGTTTTTGAGATGGAATGCAGTGGTGCGATCTCAGCTCACTGCAACCTCCGCCTCCTGGGTTCAAACCACACTCCTGCCTCAGCCTCCCGGGTACCTGGGACTACAGGTGTGTGCCACCATGCCCAGCTAATTTTTGTATTTTAGCAGAGACGGGGTTTCACCATGTTGGCCAGGATGGTCTCGATCTCTTGACCTCGTGATCCGCCCGCCTCGGCCTCCCAAAGTGCTGGGATTACAGGCGTGAGCCACTGTGCCTGGCCCATGTAGGGGATTTCTAACACAGGGACCTCCACTCACTTTCTTCCTTGTCATCTCTTCATGGTGCCCCTGTCTTCCATCTCTTTCTTATTGTTCTGATCACAGAACCCTCAAACCCAATCTCTCAATCTCTCACCTGTATTAAAAAATGCCTGTCATTACATATAAAAATAATTTTCACTTTTTTGTTATTTAAATTTTTCTGAGATCTTGCCATTTAGAATCAAATAAGTCATTTGAGGGTTTTTTTTTTTGTTTTGTTTTAATACAAGTAATTTTATCTTTAAGACTTGTTATGCCTTCCTGCTAGTTCTACCTGCTGACATTAAAACCATTATGCAAGCTACAATTATTGTTTGCATAAAATTGTACAGGCTGGGTTTTTCTAGTTTTTCTTTAAAAAAAAAAATTATGGCCTGGCATGGTGGCTCATACCTGTATTCCCAGCTCACACCAGTTATCCCAGCACCAAGGCAGGTGGATCTCCTGAGTTCAGGAGTTCAAGACCAGCCTGACCAACATGGCAAAACCATGTCTCTACTAAAAATACAAAAAATTAGCCAGGCGTGGTGGTGCACGCCTGTAATCCCAGATACTCGGGAGGCTGAGTAGGGAGAATCTCTTGAACCTGGGAGGCAAAGGTTGCAGTGAGCCAAGATTGTGCCACTGCACTCCAGCCTGGGTGACTGCCTCAAAAAGAAAAACAAAACAAAGCTTTGTTTCATTCCACTGACTGATATTCAACATGCTTCCACAGAAGCTATATACCTTTTATGTGCTTTCACTGCTATCAGTACTTTCCTAAATGTAAACATTCATTTTAAAATATCGTCCGGGTGTGGTGGCTCAAGCCTGTAATCCCAGCGCTTTGGGAGGCTGAGGCGGGTGGATCACGAGGTCAAGAGATCGAGACCATTCTGGTCAACATGGTGAAACCCCATCTCTACTAAAAAAAATACAAAAAATTAGCTGGGCATGGTGGTGTGTGCCTGTAATCGCAGCTACTCAGGAGGCTGAGGCAGGAGAATTGCCTGAACCCAGGAGGCGGAGGTTGCGGTGAGCCGAGATCGCGCCATTGCACTCCAGCCTGGGTAACAAGAGTGAAACTCCATCTCAAAAAAACAAAACAAAACAAAAAATAAAATAAAATATCAATTTTACAAATCCCAAGATATGATAGGATACTTTACTTCAAAACACATGTCACTCATGGATTGAATGCACTGGATTCAAATGTACCAGCCATATGATAGTTCCTGAGAGATTCTTTGCAAACTACGGGAATAAAACAAGTGAAAACATTATTTCAGTTAGTTTTTCAGCCTATGTAATAGGGAAAGTCATCACTGTGCTTCTTCTATCATTTTAAGGCCAGACATCTATCTTTAAAGGAATGGTATTAGAAGAGTTTTGTAAATGTGAGACTTTTCATGCCAGCTCATTGGAGAAGCGGGATTGAAAACAAGGAGAGTTTACGCTGTTTAATTACTCTGTCCATCCTTTAGATAGAATCGATAAATTTCTACAAATTTGAGAGCACATAATGAATAATTTTACAATGTTGATGTAAGGTGAAGAGATTAATTCTAAAGTAAAATTTATCCTGGTGTAAACAAAAGTTTATTTTCAATAACCGGGAGTCTATGGCCTTGTCCATTGAAACTTTAAAAACGTTTAGATTTGGAATCATTTTGATTTATAGGAAAGTTACAAAGTTCGCACAGAGAGCTCCCATATGCCCTGCACCCAGTTTTCCTTGTTAATATCTTACATGACTATAAAACACCTGTCACATCTAATGAGCAAACCTTGATACGTAATAATTAAGTAAAGTATATACATTATTTGGATCTCCCAGGTTTTCCCCACTGTCCTCTTTCTACGCCAGTCCAGTTCAGGTCATTAATCAGTTGAACATCATAGACTTCTGCATTTTGTTCTCATGTCTCTTCAGTCTCCTCTGACTGTTATAAGTTCTTAGTGTTTTCTAGTTCTCATGACCTTAACAACCCTAAAGGGAAATACTGGCCAGGTATGCTAATGAATGTCCCAGAAACTTGGATTAGTCTGGTGTTTTCTCCTGATTAGACTGGGTTTATAGGTTTTTAGAAAGAATACCGTAGAGATGACATGCTCTTCTTATCACATCGTATCAGGAGATACATTATATCCATGTAACAGCACTCGTGACCCTGTTAATTTTCAAACATTGAACAAGTTGAAAAAAGGTTTAAAAATAGATCATTGTTTTAAGTGTGCATTGCATTTTAACATGTCTATGTTTCTGAATTAAGGAAAAATAAAACCTAATGGTGCCTAGTTTGATTATTTCCAGCATAATGTAGGTGTTAGGTCATACGCCTGACAACTTTAGTGGTTACACCGTTCTCCAAATCTTGCCAAATTCATTTGCTTTCATGTACAAATGATACATATAAATCAGCCAACAGCATTAAAGCTACATTATCAGATGGCATGATAGCAAGGCCACTAAACAACAAGGCTGAAAACCTGAGAAATCTTACCTTCAATAACTTTCTTTAAAACGTTCTCACGTTTTGTCCTCCTTATTCTGTTTATCGGCATGGCGTTATTGCAGTACTCTGTGTAACCAGTGAAATATTTTTAAAATATTAGGCAAATGGAAGTGCTGTGTAAGCTTTAAACTGTTCTGTTAGAGAGGCTTAAAGCAAGGATAAGTGGAACACAGAAACGGAGGTCAGTATTTTCATCATGATAGACGCATGTACTTTTTCTTGAATTCCCAGTCTTTAAGTGGTGTTTCAGAGGAGTTTATTCATTCCTCGATTGGTGTTTATTAGCATAAGCCTCACTTATGTGTAATGAGAGGCTTATGTTTGAGACCTCTTTCCTTGGTGAGGAATAACAGTAATAACTTTTAACCATCCATAGACTACATCAACAACATTGATTCTATGACATTATTTAGGTCTCAAACTAGGGAGATGACCAGTGTTCTTGTATAAGCAGTTGGTGTGGTGGATGGCATTTCCTTGACTTAACAGTTAATGAAATTTGAATAAGGTTTGTGTAGTGGTTCATGTTTAAGACATTTATATGAAAGCTTTGTAGGCAGCTGCATAGCCTGTAATTAATATGTAAGTAATATGTGACTATTTTTCTTTTGGAGACCAGAAAAGCTTTTCAATTCAAGTTTAAATTTATGAAATGCTGCGAGAGATATTAAAACCTATAACACAGAAGATATCTGTGCCAACCTTTCAGTAACCAGAGATGAATTAAGGGAGTAATTATTTCCCTTGCCTTGAAAATATTTTTTAAGTAGTATGGATATGCCTCTTTCTTTTATTTAGTCTTAAACTCCTGACCTTTCTCAGTAACTAGCTTTAATGAAATTACAACAGACTCTTGGTGAGTTGTATTAAAACATTTTCTGAAAAGAGAAATGTTTAATGAAGTAAGAAGCATAGCAAGTCTAACAATAACCCTTGTGCTCAACTAGGGAAAGTTATTTATGTGGACATTTTCCACTTGACCAAGGGACAAAATGGGAAGGAGCCTTTACATTATACACATTACTGCCAAACTGTTAATTCTTTGTAGAGACTTCTGAAGATATTACCGTTTCACAACTGAATATTTCAGGAAGCGTATTGATTCTGTGCCAAGTATCAATACTGTTTTCTAGAACATTTCAATACATATGTGTTAGGGACAAAAATTTTATACACTAATGAGAAAATAAAGTGAGTAGGGGGAACAAGCAAGTAGAAGGTATTTTATAGTTTACAACGAGTATGATTTTTTTTTTCTTTTTTTTTCTTCTTTTTTTTTTTTTTGAGACGGAGTTTCACTCTTGTTACCCAGGCTGGAGTGCAGTGGCGTGATCTCGGCTCACTGCAGCCTCCACCTCCTGGGTTCAGGCAATTCTCCTGCCTCAACCTCCTGAGTAGCTGGGATTACAGGCACGCGCCACCATGCCCAGCTGATTTTTTGCATTTTTAGTAGAGACGGCATTTCACCGTGTTGACCAGGATGGTCTCGATCTCTTGACCTCGTGATCCACCCGCCTCAGCCTCCCAAAGTGCTGGAATTACAGGCGTGAGCCAATTTTTAAAGAACTTTTTTTTTGGCAGAGTCTCACTCTGTCACCAGGCTGGAGTGCAGTGGCACAATCTTGGCTCACGGCAACTTCCATCTCCCCGGTTC